ATATATATTTTACGCTATTTCAAATTATTGCATTACAAATGACAATAAAGATTGAACATGGCAAAAAACAGCTTAAAAAGCAAATATATTAAAATGATATATTTCTACTCGTTAAATAAAACCAACCGTTTTGGCAATGTTTTCTTACGTTGCCTCCAAATTGAGGTATTGTATGCCAGTGTTGACAAATAAATCCACTATTCCCGGGGCGTCAACATGTGGCATTTCTAATGACAGATGTTTTAAATCATTTTATAAAAGTACTTTTCTGTATACGTGAATTAATAAAAACTATTATTGGGTAAAATTGCAAAAATTATCCATTTAGACTTAATTTACGAAGTAGTGGCACCAAATAGAAGGTTGAAATTATGCACTAAGAAACAATGTAATGTTAATGTGTAATATCTGCATTTCACTTCTGACTCAATTATTAAGGGAGATATTGTTATGTTAAAATGTGGATTTTTTTCTTCAACTGCTGCAATGTTTCCACTGTGTGACAATAAATCCAAAAAACAATTTTAGTTTTATTGAATAGAGCGGAAAAGGTGTAAAAGTGAGCTCAGTTTTTACTTGTTAAGCGATACCAGATAAGGAAAAATTGCTTCCCAAAATTGCGCAAATCTGATAATCGTACTGTACAGTGACGCTGCATGTGTTCCAATAAACTGCCACATGTCAGAAGCTATCATCTATCAAGATACAACTTCAAAAAAGTTTCTTCAAAAAGATAGTACAAAATTTAATAAAAATCCTCAATGACCGCGCGGGGCACGGTTCCAAAATTAGACCACTTGACCAGGTATGACCCCTGAGAAAGTACATTACAAACCATTGAATCTACAAGTCGAACACAATGATTGCCAATCATTCTATTCCATTACCGTGACTACGTATTATTTTCTTATCACATAATACTTGTATGTAACAATTTTTTAAACAATCCTAAAGAAGGATATATGATTTTTCCTGCCAGACACTGTCGAGAAATGTCGGTTTCATTTCTCTTACTGGTTAAACTATTTATTATGAGATAATAAATATTTAAGTTATTGTATTACTCATAAATGAAAAGAGTAAAACAAGTACATTCTTGTAAAAAAACTATAAACATTAGAAATGTATAAATTTCAAGTCACGAATTTGGTAAATGTTTTGCTCCCCTCAACAGTAAATAGTAAAATAGTTTGGAGTTTAAAACATATTATGGTGATGTGTACAAAAATAATTATCACCTTAAGTTCAGCTTTGAAATTTGGACACTCAAGAAGTGAATACAATCGTTTAAAATATGTTTTCATGGAATGAAAAGTAATTAAAGGTTCATCAAATCCAGCTTACGACAAACATACCACATATCACGTCTTGGGTGTAAAGGTCAATGTGCGGAGTAATGTCGAAAGGTTCTTCTCCCTCCTTTTTCTTTAATATCGACATTAAAATGTTCCCTTGTTTGTTGAAAACATCGACAAATTGCTCCAATATTGAGAAATGGAATGTCGGCGTGATAATTTTTCGATGCTTTTTCCACTTCTCTCCTGCAAAAATGTAAAAATGTTTTCAACAAACCATTCTATGAAATTATATTTGTTCATGAACACCCACGTTCTTGAGAAGTTGAAAATTGATTGTTTACCATAAAAAATTAAAATGGTCTATGTATTTCAAAAACAGGGTTCAAAGATTATATTTTGTGACGAATTAAGTGAAGTTTGTGCAAGAAAGTGACAATCTCCCAAACTCGTTAATGCTGCATATATATATATATATATATATATATATATATATATATGTATATATATATATATATATATATATATATATATCGGACAGTGACAGTGAAAACACCTGCATTGCTGGTCGTGGTAATGCATGCTTGCCCTAATGTATCACCTAGTAATAAACTGACTGATCGAGTTAGTTGGTCTTCTACTTCTGCTGTCTTAAAACATAGAGCAAACGTTTTTTTCTGTATGCTTGAAATACGACACGAATTCAATCTTTCCATCGTAAAGTCATAACACTCCTCAAAAACGATTAAGACTGTTAAAAGATATATTTCTCAAATAGGATTAGCGTCTAGTTTTACAAAAAATGTGAGTTTATGTTCCCTAAAGCATGACTTCGATGTGAATGCTGAATGGCATTTCTTAGCTTATGGAAAGGAACCTTGCGTCGGAGTAGAAAAAACAACTAAACGTTTATCAATAAAAGCTTGTCTTCAATCGTGTCAGCAACCTATTAATTTACGCAGATTATGTAAGTTATTTAAGTGAGCTGATTATAATGTGAAGAACATTACCTTTATATTTTTAGCTTCACTGAACACTGCCTGAAAATAGGAAAGTTATAACAGTGATACGAAAATTTTTAAAAAAACTGTAGAAGGCACAAAGAAAATACATTTTACACAATTCCTTGGCTGCATGTGGGTCACACAATACTCCATACTACAAATCAATACAAAACCAGTGGGTTTTTTCTAGAATTCTTTGAGAATATTAAAGGGGGAACCGGGTAAGAAAAAAATCGAATCCCAATTGATTAATCTACAAGAATCGAACGAACTATTATTTAACATCTCTGCATGTGCTGTAAGCCTCGCAACATGCGTTTCAGTTGCATGGAAAACGCAAAAACTCGCGTTCCTTTAGATATTACTATAATATTCTTGATGGATCCGAAAGAAAGAAAGAAAGAAAGAGAAAAAAACTCCAGCAGAAGCCCGAGACGCGGCAATGGCACATCATTTGTATCGATGGGGTCTAACCGTCAGTGCCGAGTGGGAAGTACGACGCGGGTTACTCAATTCTATTCAAGTACAACTTTTTTTTCTTTTTGCTCTGTTTGTAGATAATGAAGTTAGATTATTAGAAGTTTTTGACATTGACTACTCTAAATTAAGCTCTTAGAAACATAAATAGAACATTACCTGTAGACGTGAGTAGACCAAGTCCCAACCAGCGATGCAGAAAATCGTAATTAAATGCCTTTTTCAAATTCTTGCTTTTAGACAACAGTGCCTGGAAAGAGAATTTTAACTTTTGACTTTTAAGTTTTAAGTGTACTCGAATTAAAAGTTTATGATTTGCTCTGAGTTACCTCGATATCGCTGGGGTCGCCTAAGCTCACGAATAAATGGGCAGGACCAATCCACAAACGAAAGGTACTTCCATATTTTTCATTTATAACAATAATCTTTTCGAAGATCTCTGTTTCAGAATAAATATTTCAATTACATAATTGAATATAGTGTTCATTTGTTCAAGAGTAATATTCTCTCTCCATTTTCACTCATATGAAATAATGTGAAATGTGAAAGGAAGTATATTTCATAGAGAGAGATGGTATAGATATACATATATTTCACACACACTGATATTTCGCATGGCAGACTAATATTGCGTAATTACTATAAACACGTATGCTTTAGCTGATATACAGAATGATCAGGAAGGAAAATTCGAAACGTTGAAAATTAGCTCTTAAGACAATTTTAAACATTTTGTCTAATTGACTACTTTGATATTCCGAATGGCTAAGCCACCGTAAGCACTGAAACGTTGGTTTGAACAAATGCTCTCTAGGCAAAAATTTGTATTTCAGAATCATAAAAATACTCCATAAACATGTAAATTGTTTATTTTTGACAAAAGAAATGAATATATTTGTTCAGAAAAAAATTAACCAGAAATAAAAAGCTTCAAATTTACAATTTTTAAAAAAACGTCTGGGTTAATTTTTCTTTCTGAATAATATATATTAATTTATTTTGTAAATAATAAACAATTTACATGTTTTTGGAGAGTTTCTATGCTTCTTCAATGCACACTGTTACCTCGAAAACCTTTTTTAAACCAACTTATGAGTGCTTATTGCGGCTCAATTATTCAGAATGTTTAAGTTGTTTATTAGACAAAATATGCTTAAAATTGTTTTAAGAGCTTATTTTAGAAGTTTCGGTGTTTCTTCCTCGAACATTCTGAATACTCCGATACGAAATTCACAGCTGGAGGTTTTAAGAATACCTAACACATTGTAATAGTAATGGTATACAATATAATATTGTACAACAGTAATCGTATACAATACATAATTCAGCCACAAAGTTCTCTAAAGTGAAACATAACCACGAGTTCTTTACTTTAACCTGTTGATTGAACCAATTTCTCCTACTTATGCTATCCAGTTTTATTGTAATTCGTACGCAACCAAACCTGGTTTAAAAAGAAATTCGGTAAGAAGAATCTATAGAAAATAGTTTATGATTTACAATTCTTCTTAATAATTTTCTAGTGTTTAAGAAGCAGTACGCAGTTGCCCCGACAAAACACTGTCATAGGGGTAAATGCAGAACTTACTTCTTAGGCACGGGCTTAAATGCGGCACTGAGTATTTAACAAAATATTTCGTAAAAACTGTTAAAAATTATTTCTTTGTAAGTTATTTTATTACATTAAGTTTCTCAACTCACGTTTACAACCTCTGACTCCAAAGATAGTAAAAGGTATATTTACGCCAATTTTAAACTTTCTTGGGCGATTTTAACTATCAAATAAACATCTGGACACGAACTTGTTCGTATTTTCCGAAGTACTCTTACTTGACTCGGGGACCTCTTACGCCTTTACTTCTTGAGTGAGGAGCAAGAACGTATCGGGTACTAACAAATTGACATACTAGTCTAAAATTAATGAATGTGGGTAAAACATGAATTTGATAGTATATTTCATTATCATTTTGTCATAAAAACATTTGAAAAAAATAAGAAATTCTAGATTCAAAAATTGTGGTTTTACAGTCACTTTTTGTCAAAATGTAAAATCTTATGTGCACTTAATGTGCAGTAACTCACTTTAAACTCTTGCGTGAAATACGTTTTCATTTCCTCATTAAAATGGTACCAAATACGTTATAAAAAATAAAAGTCTGAATTACATGCCGTTTCAAGGATTCAAATTTCCACAAATGTCACCAATTTCCTATTTTTCTGTTCTTTCATAACGGTGCTCTGATACAATACCTTAAAGCAATCAGAGGAACAAAAAAACACTCTTAATGCGTGGCGTCCGTTAAGAACAATTAAAAGAAATGAATTATAGGTATAGATGGCGGAAAGTGCTCATATTGCATGAAAAGTATACAGTAAAATCTAAGTCAAAACTGATAGTGATAAAAAATATTCCTCTATAGAGGGTTTTATGGCTGGGTTGCCGATGTTATGACACGTAATATATATATAATATATATATATATATATATATATATATATATATTATATATATAATACATACTATACATATATTGCCGTCCTGGCTCTAATCAACCAATTGGAATGAATATTAAACAATTTTAAATTTGACATCTACGTTTCTCTTGCCAGCACAAGTTTGATCTTTTCATTTAAGGTTCGTGTTTTATGTATCTTTCAACTTTTATTTAGCCAGCTGTGAAACTCATAAAAATACACACCACCGCACTTCCTAGAGGTTGCAATCGGAGAGCTTGCTTACTCTTTCCACGCACAATGCATCACAACTACTATCGCTCTGTGATACCCCTCGCATGACCTATTCAATGCGTCTGTGACCGAAGAGTGACGATGTGCAACGCGGTGCAGGGAGACGCGTGAATAGAAACCATGCCCTCCCATGCCGAGAAAATCTGGAGAGAAGGAATTCTCTCTCCTACGGCGAGCTGTGCCTGGAGGATCAAGCGAGCACCTGGAAACGTCGCTCAATCAATGTTAGAAACTCAACATGCACTGGCGTTCGACAGGTGCACGAATCAGGTACGGCGGATTGGAATGCGTCAGAACGTGACCTGCAAAACACCTGTGCATAATACTCAGAGGCAACTGTCACATGTGTAACTTGTTTATATAGTTTATCATCTTTGAATCCCTAATGCCCTAGACGTTTGTATCAATTATTCGGTGACATATATTGTGTGTCTTATATTTTTTGGAAAATTAACTTTTTACTTGATATTTCAACTTATATCACACGGTATAGAGTTGTATAATTTTAAATTGCCTCATTTCGTTCTTCCATTTTTGCCAACTGACTCATCCCTTTTATTCCTTGTTGGAAATCTGTTTGATTAAAAATCGTTTGAGTTTAATTGTTTTGGAGATCAAACTTCTGCTCTATATGGCATCAGCATCTCAAATTTTGAGATGCTTGGGCCATCTTGTCAAATGTTTAGACTCAATGTTCCCCCTCAACGACCCTTTATATTTATTTATTCATTCATGTATTGGCTCACTCTTAGTGTCTAATCCCACGTCGAGGAGGTTTCCGATGAGTGGCAGCGGCCGCGGTCCCGGGATCTGCTCCCCGCAGCGCCTCAGCCTCTGGCGTTCTTCAGTGCCGCGCGTCCAAACTAGGGCTGCTAGCAACACCAGCAGCGGCAACAGCACCGCCGACGCCCAGGTGAGAGCTATCTGCTCCACCGCCATGCCTGCGGACTTCAGGGCGGGTATGATACACTCAACTAGCTAGAATGTACTGCACACAGTAGCTGTGGCGCCTCCATCTTTGCAGCAAATTGAAGCCATGTTTTTGCAGTCAAAGCAGCGCCCTCTGGAGAAACAGAGTATTCTAGTATTCCGTTAGGCTCTGGTTAAGGCCGGGTGGGTGCGGACCAAGCGTAATATAAATCCTCTTACTCTGTTTCACGACCAAAACCATTCATTTAAAAACGAAATCACAATATGTAAGGACAACGAACAGAGAAACTTCAAAATCGCGTTGATTCCTGCATCGGTTATTGTCATAAGAATGGAAGCTGTTGAAATGTTATTGTAGTTAGCATAACGCCGGAAAGTGTATCTTATTGTTATACGAAGTAAACACATATATCACAAAAACGACGGCAAACTTGAAAAATGATATATTTTTGGTTTTCCGACTTCTAGTATTACAGTTATACGGCGAACATTTTGAAGGCATTGTGAATATTATTATTCTAACTACTAATAGAATTTAAATGCAGATAAACGAAAAGACAACAATATAGAAATAAGATCTTATACAAACAACATGTCGAGTCAGTACAACAGTTCTACACACCACCTTCAGGCATCTCTCAAATTTTGGCAGCAAAAAACATGGCCGCCACTAGTTCGGCGAGCCTCCACCAGGAGCGCTGAAACCATAGGGTCAGCCACTCTATGTAATATATTCTAGCTCGTTGAGTAAAAAATAACTTTACCACCACCAGTGATTTTCCACGTATTTCATAATATAAAGAATCTGCGCTCTAGTGGCAGTAAAACGAAACATAAATTTATTGGAAGTTGTTCCTCTGTACAATGCAGAATGAAAACGAAAAAACGTACAAATTTTTAAATTGTTGGTTAAGGATAATTCATTTTGATTAATAAATACGAGAATAAGCAACATTTGAGCATTGAATCTCAAAACAGGCATTTGCAGGCACTCTAACATTCGCATATAATGCTCCTAATACATCAAAATGAATAAATAACACAAAATATAGCGTTTTCCATTGAAGAAAAATATAGACAAATAGCCAAAAATCTGCAGCTAACTAATGAGCAAGGCTCAGATTAAATGGAAAAACATGTACCTAAATAGGCACAATCATGCGGATTATTATGTTTAAAAAATAACGCAATAATAAACAAGTAACGCTTTATTAAAATAATTAAAATAGTGAAATTAATTTATTAATCAAATAAATAAGTTAAAATATTAAGTATCAATATCTGTCAAAACCTAACTTTTAATATCAGCAATAGTTTATGAATTAATCATTCTTCTTTGAAAATAACTGGACGTTTTTGTGTTGCTGAAAGAAACTAACTTCATTCTGTTCTGACCAAGGATCGTTTCTGAAGTACAAGGTTAGTAATATAAGCAATGCAATATTTTAATATCTGAAATGCGAAACTGCACCTTTCATTTAATATATTGCTTTATGTTGTCTAAAACTCCGCTCAACATGAAGATTGAAGGAGAACATTTCAAGCATCACTATGCTTTATGAAATGAAACTCAGATCTAATTACAAACCGATTCACCACTTACAAATGAAACAAAACTTAAAAATAGTCTTCCAAGAATTATTTTTAATTATCGTAATAATTTCAAATAAAATGATCCAGTGTGCGATGATTTGTGAGTTATATGAAATGTTAATAAATAATGTTAATAAATGTTAAGTAAATATGAGAAAATATGTGAAAATGCGTTTTTGAAAATATGGGCATGTTGATAATCAAAAAGTTTTCAAAAATTCCAATTCCTAATTGACATATAATAAAATTCTGTAAATATATGACAGAAAGTTTCATTACAAATCATCAACAAATTAATACGTAATTACGTACAAATTCAAGTCCTGTTAATCGGCAAGTCCTCAAGGATTGCCCAAACGGTAATTCACGAAACCCATGGTTCTCCGCACAGTAGATAGCACTAAACACTGATTCTTGAATCGAAGTAATTCATAAAGGAGTGAATAACTCCGATAAAAACTATATCTAGTTGTAAGATATAAGATAACTCTCTTAAGAACAATAAGAATTGAAAATTAAAATGTACGCACAAAAACAGATATTTTCAAATTAAAGAAAATGTCTCATGACTTGACTTTGAATGTGGCGTTTATCTGATACTCAGCGATATTGTCGCAGATTACATGGCATATTTTTCAGAACTCTCCCTCCCTTCTCCTCTTTCTCACTGCAAGGGCGTTACGGTCACAGGCCAGAAGCAGTGTTCTGGTATGACATCCGTCTTTTCGCAGTAATTAGAGTCTTTCTGGTGGTTTTCTTGAGCTCTCATTTTGCTGGCAACGAGAGGCCTGAGGTAGGTTGGTTGGTTTGGTGGATTAGTGACTGCGCATCAATTGCTAAGGTCATTAGACCCGTAAGTGTAATGCATACTCTTATTGCAGGAAATGGCGGCGTCTTTCCCGCTGGATGGTGAGATCTAGCGCCGGCCTATCGTCGACTAACGGGGTTTCCCCTACCAGGTATCTCCCACCAGCGGGCATTGCTCCAGCCGGGAAAAGTTCTAAACTCCTGACGATTTCCCGGCATGTGTGTTAGTGTAGTGTAAGTAAGGGTGATGATGGAATAAGGAAGAGGAAGGAAAGATTGGGCACTTTCGTGGCTTTTTTGTAAGATACTGCTGTGGCATTCGACTCCTCGGCTTGACCCGGAGTCTCCTGTTTCAGAAGTAATTTTGTGTTCCGGGTTAATATTGAAATTATCGGTTATTCGAGCATTTATAAATTTATACAATTTTACGATTTTTAAAAATTTGTTAGCCAACCATCGCAAATTGAGTTAAGAAAAAAGTAAAACAAATAAAAAATTCACTTGGAAGTTGATTTTACCTTATATAACTTAAAAGTTAAGCTAATCAAATAAAAAGTATTTTTTCGCATAGTGATTAAATTGATTATAATGACTAGTCAGACTACAGATATAAATAGTTGCTAAGGAACAATAATTTATTAATGTAATGTAAAAAAGTAAAAATAATTGTTATTCCACAGAAAAATAATTAACAGTATAGTAAACAAAACATACATGATCACTTAATTTGTGTGCACTCCCCCAAAAACATTCAATATCTCCGGATCAAGAGCTTCCAGATGGTAGCAATCCTAATTACGAATACTATGTACGATTCGATATCAAAGAAGTAATAGTACACACTATGGACTAATTTCTTCACCAATGTTTCTCTGAATATTTGAATTAATTAACCTCTTGTTGTGTAGTATCTTTGACCGGGAAATCCTAGGATTTGAGTCCAGACGGTGGCGGAATTTTAGATTCGAAGTAGATCAGGTTAGGTCGAATGCAGCCGCTGTCTGGAGGAGAATTCTAGCGGATGGCTGAGGCTG